TGTGTATGGGGAGCAGTGTGTGTGTATGGGGAGCAGTGTGTGTGCATGGGGGCAGTGTGTGTGTATGGGGGGCAGTGTGTGTGTATGGGGGGCAGTGTGTGTGTATGGGGGCAATGTGTGTGGGCAATGTGTGTGTGTATGGGGGCAATGTGTGTGTGTGTGTGAACACCCCCCCCGGCCTACCTGTCAGGCAGCCATCTTCTGAAGCAGCATGGGGGGGGGGCACAGCATGATGTAGGGGGGGCCATGGCCCCCTCTGGCCCCCCCTAGCGACGCCACTGGGTACATCATCTTCAATGATGGTTTTATGATGGACCCGGTTAAGCTTAAATCCATAGGCGTGCGCAGCCTATTGCATTAGGGTGTGCACCCTAAAGCACAAACACACACGCCGCGCACGTGTGTGTGTGTATATATATATATATATTGGAAGGCATGGCCTGAAGTTGTAAGAGGGGCTATAGACCTATAAAAGGGACTCCCCCCCCCTTTCCCTACTTACCTTTGTTGGTCAGATGAATAGACTGTTCAAGGTCCACTTCCAGGTCATACAAGACGCCATTTTGGTTTCACCTTTGCTCCATGAGGTCTTCTACTCCAAGCTGTGTCCAGGAATCCTGCAGCAGGGATTTCCGTTAATCCAGTGGCTTTCTCTCCGGTTAGCATCGCATTTGGTGTCTCAGGGACTCTCAAACCGTAAGTTGACCCACCTGTCGTGCCAGGATTAGTTCCCACGGTGTTCAACACAGCACGGGTCCTCACTTTACGGTTTCCTTTCGTTTTGCATGGTTATTTCGTTACCTTATACTCACCTAGCTGTTTATGTAGGATCTGTTGGTTAAAATCTGTTTTGGTTAAAATCTGTTGGGTTAAAACTACAAACGAAATAAAAATTTTCACCTACACACTGACCCCTATCGGTCATTCGGTGTACTACAGGCTTCTTAGATATTATTGCATTTCATGTACAAACCAATAAACCACTGTATTTTCACCAAGACACTGACCCCTACCGGTCATTCAGTGTACTACAGGCATCTCAGACATTATTGCATTTCATGTACAAACCAAAGAACCACTGCATTTGTGCCTACACACTGACCCCTATCGGTCATTCAGTGTACTACAGGCTTCTTAGACGTTTTTGCATTTCATGTACAAACCACTGCATTTTCACCAAGACACTGACCCCTACCGGTCATTCAGTGTACTACAGGCATCTCAGACATTATTGCATTTCATGTACAAACCAACGAACCACTGCATTTGCACCAACAGACTGACCCCTACCGGTCATATGGTGTACTACAGGCTTCTCAGACATTATTGCATTTCATGTACAAACCAACGAACCACAGCATTTTCGCCTACATGCTGACCCTTACCGGTCAATCGGTATACTACAAGCTTCTTGTTTCACTTCATAAGCAAACAAACTAACTACAGCATTATCCTTTTATACTGACTCCTATTTGTCAAACGGTATACTACAGGCTTTTCAGACATATGGTTATTCCCCTCATAACATTCCCACTATAATTATAATTACACAATAACTTACAAATCATGCTTGCTATGATATAATCATTCCTGCATACCTGCCTACATAGGCATTTAGTTACATTTACTGACAATACGCATACATTTACCCAAGAATGCACATACTATTTAAAGCACTATGCAGGATTCCAGAGTCTAATATGGAATATTTGCATGTTTGCACGCTTAAAATATAAGTCCTTCCAATGATGTATTTTCACATATTAGGTTATTCAGCTGCCAGTCATGGTTACCTACACTCATGTTTCGGGGTACAGTTGTATTCCATATCACACATGATATAACACTCCCGACAAGTTAATTTACTTCAAACGGGCATTACAAGCATACAATAAACATTGGGATGAAGCCCTTTGCTCTATTAAACTTGCATAACACACATATGGGTATATGCTTTTAAATGTCTATATATTCAATTTTCATACATTGTTTTACCCGTCCGGGATACAGGTATTAATAACCCTTACGACCAGTAAGGGTATCGAATCATACTACAAGGTACATACACCTGCTCATGTGGTATATACATACATTTTCTGTTTCCCCCTGGGTATATCCTTAGCGTACTGGCAATTAGGGACTATAGGTTTCCAATAGGTATTTTCCTTTCTTGGTATCTACGCCTGTCGTATAGTGGTCCTGTGAGGCCAACACCCCGCCTCAACGCTCGGAGGCAAACACCCATTGGGCCACTCGTGAGCTAGCTGTCACGATTCGGGGAACCTAACACGCTGACACACACACACACACACAGAAAAGGTGCCATACCGGACCTTAGAGTGGCCGGGCTAAGCACGCTAGGAATAGTCAGGAGACAAGCCAGGTAAAGGGAGCCAGAAAACGGGAGAACGAGAAACAAGCCGAGGTCAAAGGAGTGGAGAAGACAGGATAATCGGAATAACGAGCCAAGTAATCGGTAACCAGAGAGCAAGACAAGAACACTACGCTACAGGTAACACAAGACCACAACAGGGCACTGAGGGACAGGAAAGGTAAGTATAAATACCCTAGGTTTAATTCTGATTGGATAACTTCCAATCAGAATTAACAATCACACGTGGGGGATATCTATACCCCCCACTGTGATTGTAGTACTGTTTCTTTAACGCCGGGTCACTCACGT